CATTGATCAGCTGCCTCCTGCATGCCCCCCACTGGGGATTGAGCCTACAAACAAGTCATGTACCGTTGACCAGAATCTAACCTGGTACCCTTCAGTTCACAGGCCGACGCTCTAGCCACTGAGCCAAACCAGCTAGGGATTTTTTTTCCTCACCCGAGGATATTTCTCCATTGATTTTTAGTGAGAGTGGAAAAGAGAGGGAAAGACAGAGAGAAATATCAATGTGAGAGAAACACATCGATTGGTTGCCTCCTGCATGCGGGCCCAGGCCTGGGAGGACCCTACAACCAAGGTACGAGATACGTGCCCTTGACCAGAATCGAACCCTGGACCCTTCAGTCCGAAGGCTGGTGCTCTATTCACTGAGCCAAACCGGCTAGGGCAGTGGTAGGCAAACTGCGGCTCGGCATACTGTAGCTCGCGAGTCACATGCGGCTCTTTGGCCCCTTGAGTGTGGCTCTTCCACAAAATACCGACTTCTGCGCATGGGCCACGAAGTTTCAATCGCACTGTACATGCGCGCCCGCACGTGGTATTTTGTGGAAGAACCACACTCAAGGGGCCAAAGAGCAGCATGTGGCTCGCGAGCCGCAGTTTGCCAACCACGGGGCTAGGGCCACCCTTTATTTTCTTAACCCTTCCTGTGCTGATGTGTCAAGCCAATGCTCCGGCTGAGCTGCTTTTTTACAAACTAATTTCATCAGGGAGCATCTCACAGAACAAAAACACCTGGTTGGCAGAATCTGGATTGAATCGTCTGCATGTGATTAACATTGTAATATCTTAGGTCTTTGTGGTGGCCTGGGTCTCTAGAAATTTCTGGTGTCTGGGCTAGGAGTTCAAGCAGATCATAGAAGCCTCATTGCTTGACAACCAGAAACTGTTTGGTGATGGGGGACAGTTTTTAAAAACCATCTGTGACTACTCTGATAAGTGCAGAACCATCCTACTTGGAAGGGGTGCGTATCGTTATTTTGTACTATCAGTACTAATTTGCAATTTATGGACTTCTGGTCTTATTGGAGCTGAGTGGAAATGAAATATGTGTAACTCTGATGCTTTGTTTGGTGGAGAGCTGACTGGCTAAAGTTCATTGTTACGTTTTAGTACAGTGGTTGTGTTTGTCATGACTGCCAAACCTACTCTCAGTGGGGGGGGGTCCCAGGGGGACCCCAGGTGGGCTGCCAAAGCACTTGCCGCTTCCCCAGTCGTGGCCATGGGGACAATGAAGGACATTTCATTTACTCTGTAACTGCTTATTGAGCATATATTTAATGTGTGGCTCTAAAGATATGGATGTGAACACAACAAAGGCCTCACTTATGCGGAGTTTATATTCCTGGGGTAGATGCTGCCAGTGAGCAGATAAATAACCCACTGCAAGCTCCGGGCCATGTATACAAACACACTCCTCCCTTTAAATTGGGTGTTTTACCCTAAAGTTTTCTGCCCCCAGCTTGTTCCCATTTTTCCCGTGATGCCTTGCATGGAATAAGGGTTTAATAGATATTTGTGATTACATAGCAGCTAGTGTTATGCACATGAAGAAGTACAGAGGGAGTTTAGTTCAAACATTTATTGAATGATGCTTATATGATGTACATTGGGTGGCAGGCTGGGGATGCAGAGCTGTTTTGGATGCTGTGTCAGTAGTCTCCCAGTCTCCTTGACAAGTAGCCTAGGTAGGATCAGTGCAGGATATAAACCAGAGCATGCTTTGGGAGCACAGTTCAAACTAGGGGCTTCCTGAAGGAGATGGTATCTATACATGAATGAGTGTTGACTAAGGGAAGAGAAAGTGAGAATAGTGTTCTAGGTGGAGGGACTAAATCAGGCCGAAGTCCAGAAGTGTGACAGAAGCATGGGGTGTACAAGGGACAGTGCCACAGTAATGGTCAGGTGGGGATGGCCTGTTTGAAGGAGCTCCAACCCTAGTCTGGGAGGGCACTGCAGAGTTTTAAGCATGTGTTTCACACCATGGTTCTGGCTGCTCTGCAAAAGCCGAACTTACGGGGGTAAAAATAGAGACAAAAAAGGTCTGAACTGAGATGGTGGTGGCAAGGGTGGATCTGTTTGGATCTCAGCTGGTGATCCTGTTCTTTGGGTGGCTGATTTCAGAGCTCAGGCCCCATGGTCCCCTCCATAACCTCTCACTGCCCCAGCTTAGCAACATGCCAGTTGCAGTATAGAATTGTTCTTCAGATGGGACCTCTCCCAGCTAATGCCTGGACCCTGCCACATGGTCCTGTCCTGTCCTGTCCCAGGCTGCCCGCAGTTACCCTCCTATGTGCCTGCAGATCAGAAAGTTCTTCCTCTGCTGTCCAAATGGTTCTCTCTTCATCTAGTCTCTTCATCTAGCCTGGCAGTCGTTTTCTGTAGTGCCCTCTCCCCTTGCTCATCCCTTCATCAGATATTTGTTGAATCCCTTCTGGTTGTCAAGTAATGTTCTCACACCACAGGACAGGGAGGGGGAACCGGCAGTCTCCAGTCTCCTAGAGTTGACATCTTAGTAGGGGAAAGAGACCATAAACCCATAAATACATAGTGTATCAGCTGTTGATTTCTGCTGTGAGGCCAGTCCAAGGTTTCTCCTAGGAAGTATAGCGTGAGTTTAGTGAAGTCTGCAACCTCTCAGGCTGGAGGCTGTTGGAGACAAGGGGCAGAAATCAAGCTCGGAGTGCCTTACACAAAAATCAGCTTCTGTTGACTTAGCTGAAAAGTCTTGGGGGTGGGGTTAGCTGTGGGCCGGCTGGACCCTGGGCCTCCAGCGATGGGATTCAGTTTCCTCCCCTGCTTCCTGTTGGATTGGCTCTAGTCTAAGGTCCCTTTTGATGACAGGGTTACCTCCCACCAGCTCAGCAGAGAGAGAGCTCCCCTTCCCCAGTAGCTCCAACAAAATTCCTGGACCTGAATCTCATTCACCATCTGCAGCCTGGCCTTATTCAAGGGTCACAGTGTCCCCTGGGGTAAGGGCCTGCAGTACTTCTTAGGCCTGGAGCCAGGACTAGGCTCCATCTGAAACACAGAGGTGGGGGAGGAGTGCTTCCCTGAAGAAAATGAGGGGTTGGGGTGCTGGGCTGGCCAAAACCCTGGCTTCTCCCTGTGCGCCTCAGTGCCTTGTTGCTGGCCAGGAGTTGAAGACAGAAGCAAGGCGGGGCCTGGACCTCCAGCCCTTCATGCTGGGTTTGTGGTTTATAGGGCAGCACCAGAACGTCTCTGGGATTTCCCGTAGTAGACAAGTGTAAATAAGCTGCTGCCATCCCCAGAGTCCCTCCAGCATTTCTTTGCTGTCATTTATTGTCTAGCATAGGCCTGTCCATTCATTCATTCATCCACCCATCCTGGTTTGTCAGGCAGCAACTATGCACTGTGCCAGGAGATGGCTGCTTAGGGTAGCATGGAAACTTTGATGGTGACCCTTACTCTCCTCCTTTTAGCACTTTGGTCTCACACATGTCATTCACCCGTGTCCATTGTGGGCTGTGCACAGTGAGGACTGTTGTGGTGAATCTAACTCGGTTATGGTGCAGCTTCAGTGAGCGCGGCAGAGGGAATGGTCACCATCAGTGGGCCATTGCCTCAAAGTGAAGACTGGGGCCTGTCCTGCTTCTCCAAGAAGGGGGAGTTTGAAGAGACGGGGAGTGGAACAGGATCCGTTTGATTTTGTCTCGGTCTTGTCCTTTTTCCTCCTCAAACTTCCTCTTCACCTCATTTCTATTGTGGGTAATCGCTGTCACCTCCTAACTGGTCTCTTCACATGGCCTCTTCCCCACACTTCTCATTTTAAACCTAAACCAACCACCATGTCTCCCCCACTCCTTTTGCACCACTTCCCAAATCCTTGGCATGGCCACCATCTGCCCCTGGGCTCCGTGCCTTCACCCCTGCCAGGCTTTTCTCCTTGAGACTTCGCACAGCAACCTCATCTCAGTGATATTTCCCTAACACTCTAGACCAGGCACTCTACCAGCTCCCTATATGAGCACTCTTATGAACTGCGAACCGTGTCCCCCTCCTACCTAGCAGTCCTGCTGGGGCAAAGCTGTGTGAATGTAGGTTCCTGGTTAATCTAAGTCTCCTATGACTGGAGGCTCTGACAGCAGGACTGTGCAGATGCTCCCCAAATTCATGACTCCCCTGGCCTCCCTCCTCTCTCGGCCCTTGGATGCTGAAGGAGACCCTAAACACACCCCACAGGGTTCATGAGCACACCCAGAGCCACATGCCCAGGTCCAAGACGATGAGGGGCCTCCCCCATGGGTTAAGGTGGTCCTCGGTTACAATCCCCTAGCTGGCTGCAGAGGCTTCCTGGGCTGCCCCTGGATAGGAGATACATGGTGTTGCCTGAGAAAATAGGCGGCATAGCCCTGACAGGGCATCCCAAAGGGTCTTTTCCTTCAGCAGACATGCAAGATGGACTCTCAGACTTTTACAGCTCCATAAATTCTTTTTTTGTTAATGGCTGCTCGCTTAGAGATCCAGGTGGAATGTGGGCCGGGGTTCTCCAACAAGCATGAGCTGTGTGGACAGAGATTGCAAACTGGTTGCTCCCTGGCCTCAGCTGGCCTGCAGATTAAAAAAAAAATAACCAACCCTAAACTAGTCTCCAGCATTTGAAATTCAGGAGATGCCATATAAAGATTTGACTTACCTGAGCTGAATTCCTTCAGAACCACAGTTGGTGGCATTGAATAGCTGCCACCTCCAATGTATTGCAGCTCACCACACTCCCCACCGCTCTCCCTTGATCAGGCCTAAGTGAGTCTTAAAGCCTTTTTATTGGTGTATAATATGCATACGTATCCTACCATTAAGTGTTGAATTGTCACAAACTGAAACCCCACACCTCCTCATTATGAAAGTATTTTTTAGGTGATTTGATGTCCTTTGGGGTTACTAGTTTTATATGGGTTTGTTTTTTATTTTTAACTTATAATTATAGCTTTGTTTACTGTATGAAATAGTGTTGGGGGGAAAAACACCAATTTTTCTTTTTGCAGAAAAACCTGCCATTGCTCCGCCCGTCTTTGTGTTTCAGAAGGATAAAGGACAAAAGGTAAGGGGCTGGTATGTTCTCTCTTCACATTTGTTTTCTCCTAGAGCTCTCTCTCCCCAGGTCACATAGCAAAGGAGACTTCTGCCCTTTAAGCCTTCACATTGAGCTTGGAAGAAAAAGGTCCAGTGGCTTTAGGTTACCATGGTGAATGGTTGAGATAGGTGTGTGTGGAAAGGGTTCAGAGACCCTGCTTTAAAAACGGTGGTAGAAAACTTTCTCCTCATTCCTAATGATTTGATTTAGAAATACTGTACATTAAGAAAATTAGTAGGAGAAAAAAGGTAGAAGACGGAGAGGAGGGAGAGAAGGAGGGAGAAAGTGGGAGAGAAAGTGGGGGGAGGGGAGGCGAGAAGGAGAAAGAGCAATGGTGGTTACAGAGGAAAAACAGGACCTTTAAAGATTTTAGAGACATTTTTTGGCCCCAACCAACAAGGCATAAATGCATTTAGGATAATTATTAGTTGACTTGGATTGTATATTTACCATCCATCTTTGTTGGGTTGCTTCCTCTTCTTAGATTTTAAATGTCTTGGTCACATTGTTGTTGGAAATACCTTGTCTAATTCATAGTGATGAGCTGGCAGCCTGTCAAAGGCCTGATTGGTACATCAGTTGCATACCTACCTTTGCATGTTGTTTGTCTTGAAGTCACAGGTTTTATATCCTTACCTGATAAATCAGTATGGAAGGTTGGGATTGTGTCCAAAGTTAGTTGATGTTTTGTGGCGATGCTTCCCAAGCTGATGTGAGGACTCCCTCTATTTGTCAAAAACATGGATGATCCCGCCCCACCCAGGGCCCAGGACAACAGATAATTTAATGCCCATGGCACGATTTCAGAGAGACCAAGTGTGTTCTGAAATCCATTTGTAATCTTGTTGATAAGAGAATTTGAGAATTGGCTCAGGGCTGGGGATCCACAGGCCGGGTGCTCTGGCGGATCCCCCAGTTCCCCGGCAAGGTGGCCGGCTCAGAGGTTGGGTCAGTTAGTCTGGTGATTTGGCACTCCCAGCAGTCCAGCTACTGCTTTGTAGACTTTATCCTTTGGTCTGAGAAGAGAGGCCAGACTTTTCTTTCTGTGCAGCCCAGTTTCCTGGAAAACATTTAGGTGCTATGCCAGGAAGAAAGCTTATGTACTGAGGGGACAGGAGGGAGAGGGGCCCTAAACCCACACCCCCTTGCACTGGAGCCTTCTGTTTTGGCAGGGTTTTATCTTCTAGGGCTTGTTCTCACATTAAACATCCCCATTGTTAATTCTTTGCTGAAGAAAGAATAGCCAAACCTGAGGAAATGTTCTTCCCATTTTGTTTTGGCTTTCCAGGTGGTATTTTCAAGATACATCAACCTCTGCTGTCTCCTCTCCCCTGCGCCCTGACACATACATACAGCTTACTTACCTGTGTTTTTAAACATCCCTCCTTTGGAAAAGGGTCAGTCACTGAAAGGCTGATGTGTTTCCTGTAGCTTTTTAGAAATGGATGTATTTGATTTCTCTTTTAGATGTAGTCACTTCTGAGGTTTTTCATTAAGTCGGGGTTTTCTAGCATTTTGAGTTTTATTGCGGCCATCATTTGAATCATTTTTAGCTTAAAATGGGGGTCAGCAAACTAAGGCCTGGCACCACTGCTTATTTTTGTAAATAAAGTTTTATTGGTACACAGCCATGCCTATCCCCTTCATAGTTACTGAGGCAGATTTCACACTGTAACAACAGAGTGAAGTAATTTGGACCCAGACCCATGGCCTGCAAAGTCAAAAATATTTAGTTTTTGGCCCTTTACAGAAAAATTTGCCGACCCTGAATTTAAAATGAGCACTAGGAATTAATAGTTCTTTAAACCTGAGGACTTTTGGACAGCTGGAAGGATGAAAAACTAAAATGTAATAAATGTTTGGCTGAATTTAAAATGCTTTTAAAATTAATTCTTGTTTTATTACTGTTTTCGCAGTTGAGGTGGTTTTTGCTTTGGTTTTTTGGTTTAGTTAGTTTTTTTTAACTTTTTTATTGAATTTATTGGGGTGACATTGGTTAATAAAATTATATAGGTTTCAGTTGTACAATTCTGTAATACATCATCTGTATATTGTATTGTATATGTTCACCACGCCAAGGCAAGTCTCCTTTTATCACCATTTATCCTCTTCTACCTCCTCCCACTCCCCTTTCCTTCTGGTTCTGTTGCTTTGTAATTCAAAGGATAACTTAGATGTATTGCCTTCATAAAGTTGAGGTAAATTATGTAAATGGATGACTGAACCAGAAGAGTAGCTAGGAAGATGGTCATCATCAACTTAAAATATACAAATGTAGTTCTTATCACAATACTGACTCAGAGCCAACACTAATGGGCTTCTAAAAATAACTGATCTGCAGCTTTTCAGAATTCAGCTCTCCATTTCTGTCCCAAGATCATCGAAAGGGTGTGGGAAACCTCTCTGTTTAACAGCAGAAGCTGGAGAAGCCTTTGTGACTGTCCTTTGGGGGTGCTTTCTGAGCTGTCAGGTAGATAGATAGTGGCTAAATGGACTCAGAATCTTTTCTTTCTCTATCGTTTTGACAGCACAAGAGTAAGGTGGAAAGTAAACAGTAATCAGGTAGCTTTGTTTCCCCTTAACTTCCCATTTCAAGAAAGATGGAAGGGCAGGTCTTCAAGGATCATCCACAAGACTTCTTGCCAAAGTAAGAGTTTGAGAGTCTTCCAGTTTCATTCATTCTTTCTGCCCCATTCCCTTCTCATACTGCAAAAGCAGAACTGGGAAAAGACTGTTGGGGCTGCTTTTTTCTGAGCACACTCTTATCCTCTTTCTCTTCGACGTTTTATTTTGAAATTTTCAAATTATCAGATAAGATGGAAGAACAGTACTGAAGACACAGGTATTCTTCACCTGGCTTCACTGTTAACATCTTTGTCATAAATGCTGAAAGCACTCAACTGTAATTTGCTCCCATCTGATGTTCCTCTCTAAATACTTCTGCAGGTGTTTCCTAGGAATAGTGTGTCATTCCTCTCCATGGCCCCAGTGTCATTGTCACCCATAAGAAAATGACCATTCAGAAGTCTCCTCCAATATATAATTTGTCCTAATTGTCACCAAAATGTCCCTTATAGCTATTTTTTGAGCCACTTCTTGATCCACATAGATCAAGTATTCCCATTGTCACTGTGAGGCCATTAACTTCCTTGTCAGTAAACAGTCTCTAAACCATCCAATGGGTGTGTTTCAAAGAGCCCCTGTCCCTCAACCCCGTTCAAAGGAGAGCACACCACAGGCCCAGCTATTGTTTGGATAAAAGATTTGAAATTTTAAAAACAAATAAGCTGCCAGCTAGGTGTTTTTGTTTGGTAGTAAAGCCACACAACATTTTATATCAGTTCCATTGATGGTCCATGTGTTCATAGCAAACTACAAATTGGTATAGTGGCCTGCTGGTGACACACAGGTCAAGTTGTCAAATCCTCCTATTGTCCCAGTTAGAGAAAGCCTTCCACAGTCTGAACTCCAGTCATAATGCACAATTATTGTCTTTACTTCCTTCCATGTCTCCAGGCTTCCTCAAGGTGGTGCTCTTCACAAAATGCTTGTGTTTACATGCATTTGTGTGGTTTTCTTAATGAGTTGTTTGTTTTTTAAATTTTAAGCATCACCCAAGGATATGTTTATTGATTTGAGAGAGGGAAAAAAAACATTGGTTTGCCTCTTATACTTGCCCCAACCTGGGACCTCAACCTGGGACTGAACCTACAATCTAAATAGGTGCCCTGACCTAAAATCTAACTGCATTCTTTCAGTGTACAGGATGACCAACTGAGCCACACTGGCCAGGGCTACATGCATTTGTGTTTTTAAAGCAAAAAAAAACACCTTTTATTAACTGCCTTGAATGGACGCAATTTTTTTTTCTTTTTAATGTGTAGAGAATTTGAATCTCATTTAGTAGGTTGTCTTATTGTATGTGATGATTAAGTGTTTCTTTCAGCCCTGGCCGGTGTGGCTCAGTTGGTTGAGCGTTGTCCCCTGTACCATGCACCGAAAGGTCTTTTGTTCAATTCTCGGTTAGGGCACATGCCCAGGGTGCGGGTTCCATGCATACTTGAGGCAACCAATTGATATTTCTCTCTCATATCAATGTTTCTCTCCCTCCCTCTTTCTTCCTCTCTCTCTAAAATCAATAAAACTTTTTTTTAATGTTTCTTTCAGTTAGTTTATCTTCCAAACATTTGTTAATCCGAAGGGGGGTGGTATTGCGGTTGCACTGGCAAGATAATGCCCATTTGGTAACAAGACAGAAAGCTGTAACAGAAATGCTTATGAGCAGAAACTCCGGTATTGCTGAAAATGCGGTATAGTATGTTTAGACCTAGTTTTGAAGCTTATTGTTGGTGTAACAAGTATACCCTATGTGCATGTTTTTATTTTGTTTGTTATTTTTGTCAGCCACATATAGTTTAGGATATATGATCTAGGGTCTGGATCTGATGTCTGATTTTAATAAACATGTTGAAAAACTACAGGTCCTATCTTGGTTCTTTAGAGCTTACTTTCTTGTCCAACAGAAACACTCGGACCCAAGGAGAAAAATGCTGGAACAACATTTGTATTTCTTTTTGGTCATCTTGAGTCCACCATGCTATGAGGACATTTGAACATTTATGTTTTAAAAGCAGAGATTTTTTAAAAATATATATGAGAGTAGAAGAATTGTGAATAAATAAGAAAGCAACTAAGGTAGAAGCATCAACAGTCAGCTCAGTAGATACTGTATACATTTGGTTTCTACTTTTTTTTAAAAAATATATTTTATTGATTTTTTACAGAGAGGAAGAGAGAGGGATAGAGAGTTAGAAACATCAATGAGAGAGAAACATCGATCAGCCGCCTCCTGAACACCCCCCACTGGGGGTGCACGCAACCAAGGTACATGCCCTTGACCAGGATCAAACCCGGGACCCTGAGTCCTCAGGCCGACGCTCCATCCACTGAGCCAAACCGGTCAGGGCGGTTTCTACTTTTACAAGCTAGAACCTGCTCATAATCCTCAGTAAATTGTTAAATACAGTTTTGCCCAGATGTCATGAATTAATTGATACTAAGTTCACCTCAACTTCCCATTTGAAAGGAAGCACTGACATTTAAAAGCAGGGATTTTAAAAAAACAACAAACCAACTGGTTCTAATTAGAGAGATAGGCAGTTTCCCACAAAGCTCTGGGTTTAATTTTCTTTTGGTGGGTGTTAAATTTCTAACCATAAAGTAGCAGCCGACTAATGGGCAAACTGACCTTGGTGCCCCAGAAAGGTTAGAGGAACAGTTTGGGAAGGTCTTTGAGTCTGTGGATCTTCCCTAGATAGGAAGGGTTGCTTTTGGTGGCTTTTTAGATGTGTGCATGAGTTAACACTGTGTTGCTATTGCTTTCCTAAGAATGTTTGAAAGTTCTCTTAAATCTTTTTTATATAGCACCTTTCATCCAAAAGGCTCACATGTTAAAAAATAGCCCCAACACCTATCTAAAGAGATCTCAGATACTTCACACCCAGAAGAAACACGGCAGCGTTAGCAGGGTGGCTGGATAGGGTAGCGCTGTGGTCATTTAGTTCACAAAGTAAGAGAAAGGGCTTCTTGTGGGCGATGCCATGCGGGAGGTTTGGGAATTGGAGCCCATTTGTTGCAGGACACCAACTTTATAACCCACTTCTCAAGAAAAGAGTCTTGGCCACAGAGCTCTCAGCCCACTGAAGCAATCCCCAGAAGCCCAAGAACCAGCTCAAAGAATGCCAGGGGTGTTGTACTTTCAAGGACAAAGACTTCTGGAGCCAGCTTTCTCTTATCCTGGCTGTTTTCCAAATAAGCCCCTGCCCAAGGTGTTTGGAATGAGCCTGGGGAAATCCCAAGCCAAAGGGCTCCCTCTTCCAGCTAAACTCCCACCCTCCCACCAATACAAAACTGGCTTTTCATGTCTCTGCCAGGTCCTTTAGTCACCCCACACCTGCACTCACTGAAATGAGAAAAGCTCTTCCTTCATCTCAGGTTTAAGCAGAACAAGTTGAAAGTTGATGGAAGAACTAGGGTGAGATGCAGAAGCTTTTGGCCCTGGACGCCTATGCTTGATTGTGTGGTGTCCCTGGCCTACTTATCCACCTTTCCTAGCAGATGGAAGTGGTGCTGAGGGCAGCTTCCCTGATCATATCTTTGAGGAGATGTGTTATTAACCTGTAATCATCCCTGTTCCCCTCTGATAGAGGCACTGTCCCCATTTTTGTCACTAGGAGTGTTTTTCTTCATTCATGGCCCATAAGCAGAGTAGCTCCATGCCAAGCCTTGCACTTTTGAAAACAAAGGTTCAGACTTCCTGCACACCTTAAAGCTCCTTGTAAAGTCAAACAGCAGGAAGTCCACATTCATTTTACTTTGTGCCTGCTTTCTTGGCCCATCCTCCTGGGCAGGAATTGCTGAAGGTGGAGCCATCTCTAGGCCTCCGATCCCTGCCCCCATCCCCTGCCCCATGTTGCAGCCTTTATTTACATTGAAGGAAAATTGTCTTTTTTGCTCCCAGTCCTCTGCAGAGCAAAAAGACTTGTCGGATTCGGGAGTGGAGCCTCAGGGGGAGGCTGAGGCTCCCCACCATGGCCCAGGTCACCCTGAGTCAACTGGTGAGCATGCTCTAGAGTCTCCTGCCCCCGCTAGCGCTTCAGCCAGCGCTCCTGAAGCCCAGCTTCCTCCTTTTCCACGAGAACTGGCAGGGGTAAGTCCACCTCCATTCCATGGCCCAGGGGTCCCAACCCAAACCGGCCCTTTTCCCTCTGAGTCCCTCAGATCCAGACTTTAGAATATAAGCAGCTGATAACTTAAAAGGTGTCCAGATCTCTCCAGCTCTCTTTAATTCCTGCTGCTGAAAAATCAGAGAAGATTAGGTCCCCTTTACATGGAGACTTGTCTAGTTGGATAAATATATGCCCATAGCAAAAAGCTAGTCCTGTTTCCTGAAATAGACACGAGGGGTCAAAAGAGGAATTGAGTAGTGGGTAGAACTTTCCAAATCAAATTGGACCCCTTCTCCTTCCTTCCATTTTTTCTTTCTCTCTCTGAATCCGGGCCTTCCAATTCAGTGTCTTAGAAACACAAGGAGCTCTGGCTTCCTTAATCTGTAGGAAGAGGAGATGTCTAACACAAATTGCTTTGCAAGACTGATTGTGTCTGGACTGTGGTGAGGCTGTGAGCTGCTTGTCTTCAATCAAAGCAGGAAGAAGAGAAGACTCTTCTTTGAATCCAGAGGGAACCCCTGAGCTCTTTATCTTTGTATTAAGAAGGCTTTTGAAGATAATAGGTGGAGAAGATTGTGAACTCTCAAGAACAAGAAATGTCTTGAGTGTTTGGAGTTTGATAAGTTGGGAAAGGTAAACATCATCATATATTCAGGATTGTAAACTCCATCCTCTAGGTACCCCCAATGTCGTGACATTGAAAAATGACTCTTAACAAGAAAACAGAGGGCCCCACTCTGCCATACAGAATGCAAGGCAGCCTTCCAGGGCATCACAACCCTAGACATTTAGCAATTTCTATGTCACGTCACCAGTACCCTGTGTTCTTAAGGAAACCATTAAAATTCAGTTACAGGCACCAAACCATAGGCGCAAGAAGAAGCCGTGTTCGGCCAAGGTGAGATTGGAGTCATATTTTGACAATTTGGAGGAATCAGTGTGTGGTGGCTAAAGAAGTAGTAGTTTTTATCATGGGTGGGGAATAGCAGGGAGACGGTCCTTCATGGCATAGAAGTGGGTTTGGGATAATGAAGTGTACTCAGAAGCTCAGTAATGACTCCAGCCAGGAGGCACTTACTGCCAGAGTGTTCTAGCATCACAGCCCTGACACGAGAGCTGGCAGGGCAATAATTAAGAGGTGGTCACTTTTTTGGTTGGGGGCAGAGGAGCTCCTGGGACCTCTTCCTGAGTCAGGTATTGTTAGTTATTTTATCTTCAGCCTTTGCGAACAGGTCATCTGTTCTCAGGCACTAAGAACAGATGACCTTGAAGTGGACCTGCCTGAGAGACTCTGAAGCCTTCTGCTGCTGCCTAGTTTGAAAAACACAACTTAGAGGCATCTCCAACTGGGATGGTTGAGGGTTTTCAACTGCGAAGAGCAGACGGCTAGATTGCAGAAATTGTGTCATGGCAGCTACTCTACCAGATTCATGTGGGCTATTTCAGGCCCCTCTCACTGCTAGTGCCCACTTGGTAAGACTGGTGGGTCCTCACCTTCCACCTGTGGCCAGTCCAAATGTTGATCTCTGAGGAACGTGGCTTCTCTGTCCTTGTGGACATTGGGTTGGAGACTCTAATCCCAAGAAATTCAGTTGTTCCCCAGGCTGGCCAATACAAGATCAAGTGTTCTAGCAGGGAACCTCAGGATGGATTGTGAAGTCATCATGGGAGGGAGCCAGGTCTCGGGGGAGTGGTTTATGAATGGAGAGCACAACCGTAAAGGCCTGCATCTGACATACACACACACACACACGCACACTCTGTTTCAGCATTTGTGACTACAGAAATCCTCCGTTCCGTCACAAGTCCCAGCAGCACCACCATCATGTCAGTTGGGGACAGCTCTGAGGGCTCACCAAGGGCTCGCTCTGTGGGGCTGTCTGCAGAGGAAACCATGGCAGGTTGCTAATGGCTCCTGTCAGTTGACTTTCCCCACTGAGTGGGCATGTTCAAGCAAAGTTCACTTTGTTTTTTAGGTCAATTAAGGCATAAATCAAGGCAGAGAAACCTGATCCAGGCTTCTCGGGCTGAGATTTTTTCCCTTGGTTACTCATTGCGTTTGCATCAGAACAAATTTGGATCTTGCTCTGTACCACACCAGAGTTCAGGAAACCGCCCACAGGTTACTCAGCAGGTCTCATCCATCATGCTCAGTCTCTTCTCTGTGCCTCAATCCCTGGGGGTCTATAAAGCATGAGCTCTTTATGGCAAATAGTGGCTCGCTGAATTGTTATAAAGGGCCTTGATCATCTTTCAGTCTCATCAGCACTCTAGCCATGGAAGACTCAGTACCAGAAAAAAGTCTATATATCAGACTTACTGGCTCTCAGCAGGCAGTTTGAAGAAACCCAAACCACATTTCAGATTCAGTTCTCTTATCCAGGAGAAGCGAGCAGCTTCGTGCTTGCCCCGATCCTGGCTGAAGTCTGCTGGACTGAAGCTCCAAGCCAAGGCACTGATGAGCTTAAACTATGTTTACGAGACCCACCAAGAAGCTTAGAAAGTGTCTGGAACGAGCCCCCTGGCTGGACAGCTTCCCTCATCTTCCAGCTCCTGCACAGGATTTGACTTTTGTTCCATCCCCACCCTACTTCATGTCTTCGGAGGCCACTTCTGTTTTTCTTGTTTCAGTGAGCTTTTTTAGTAAGAATTTCTGAGCTGGTTGCCTCAGTCACAAAATTGGCCCATAGTTGATATGAAGACAAGGACATGATCAGGCTTTGCTTTTTTTAAAAAAATTCCTCACCCAAGGATATGTTTTTATTGATTTTTTTTTTCTTTTGAGAGAGAGAGAAGGATGTGTGTGAGAGAGAGAGAGAGAGAGAAACATCAATCTGTTGCCTCCCATACATGGTCTGGCTAGGGATCTGACCCACAATCTAGGTATGTGCCCTAACTGGGAAGCAAGCCTGCAACCTTTTGGTGTATGGGACGACGCTCCAACCAACTGAGCTACTGGACCAGTGCAGTAGGCCCTGCTGTTATTTGATTTTTCATCCCACAGCCAGCTGGACTTTCTAACTGGTCAGTCCAGGCTGGAGTCACTGAGGCCCAGGCAGGCCAAATGGCATCCAGTGTTTTCTGGAAAGAACTTGTCTGACTTAGTCTTGCTTTCTGGTCTTTTCTGGGAGGTCAGGAAGGCAGTGCTTTTCATTTCTGCACACTTCCTGTGTGCCTATGTCTTTCATGTTCTGAAACACAATCTCCAGCTCCATCCCCTTCCCTGGCCTGGCACCTTTGTTTCCCTCGAGGCCACACCAGGCAGCCTCATGAGAGCCATGTTTTTTTTTGGAGGAGGGTAATAATAAATCTAATGATCATAATTTTTACAATTTAATCCTTTATACAAAAATCAGAAGCTTCCCGTGCCTATGTTCCCATCCTGGGTTAGACATTATCCCGATTTTGTACTTGGTGACAGGGTCTTACAAGCCTCCCAGAATGAACTGCTTCCCTGGAGGACCCAGTGGCTTCTGAGGGGAGAGGGCTGCCGGTGCCACCCAGAAGCACACGGTGAGCAGCTCCTTTGATTCTTCTGCAGGCTGGTGCTTACCAGCCCACAGCCCCTCCGCCATCTAAGAGGGCTTTTCCATTTTTGTGAACCTGCTTCATTCGTTCACACCGTCCTGAAGCCAGAGAAATCAGTTGAAGGGTTATCTTTGTTCTACTTTCTCTTCAGCCTCCTTATGTCAGTGTTAGTTGGGTATATTTTCATCATGATGTCCCAAATGGGTACTGACTCTTCCACAGATGGATTCTACTGTGGGGAGAGGCAGAGTAGAAAATGGGGCTTCTACACCCTGCTTCTGTTCCCCCTAAGAAGCACAGATCCTGAAAATCTGCTTTAGAGTCCTCCTCATATGAGTCTCTGTAATGGTAATCCTTGAACTTGGGCTGCAGATTTCTGAGGTCCAAGGAGTTGGGAGTCCCAGGCATTGCTTTCTACTGACCCCTGAGTAGCCACTCCCTTGATTGGGATGAAGGGTTTCCCCCAGGCTGCTCTGACACAGAAGAGGTCCAGAACACCAGGCTACCATCCAAGGGAAATGGTGGAACTGGCGTTGGCCTTGAGGGGAAGGGGGGCGCGGCAGAGGGAGTTGCTGCACCTCAGACCTTTTCCTTCCAGACAGCAAGCTCAGCCCTTCTCCAGCAGGGTGTAGGGCAGGTTGCTCTTCACATGGACATCTATGAACGATTTCTAAAAGAGTCAGCATTTCCAAAGGCATGCAGAAATGACTTCACCTTACATTCTGTCTTCCTGCTTCCTTGCACTAATTTTTTTTTTTTTTTAGAAGAGTTGCCAATGTCAGTTTCCTCATTGCTTCTCAGGTGTTTCATACTCCACAGGAGGTTCCAGCAGTTTTTGGAAGGTTCTCCTTGTCGGGGAGTCTTCCTGTGTTTTCCTTCCCAGGCCTTGGCCTCCAGGTTTTTCCGGACCGAGAGACCCATCGCCTGTCTGTGGGTGGTTCTTCAAAAGACTTGGGGCAAAAATTTGAGGGTTTCCTGGAGTCAGGGGTCTAGGAGTGTCTGAATCTTGTTTGGCCAGGCAACTTTTCTTCTCAGGTTTCCTAAGGGGCCATAATGGAGGATATGGACTCCATTTGTGCAACAAATACTTGAGAGTTTTTTGTGTACTGTGTCCTGGGTGTTGCACATATGAGCTATGAGGATAACAGACAGGGTAGGGCCTCATCATGGCTAGAGACAGACACATTAGATCATTTCTGATTGTGATACACAAAACAGGGTAGAGGCCCAAGAGAGGCTGGAGGGTGGGGTTAAGGGGAGCTGCCTCCACTTTCTGGGCAGTGAGATAGGCATGAGCGTAGGTTCATTCTGGAGGTGATCGGGAAAGGCCTCAGGGAGGCCACAGTGAGTGGACCTGCAGGAAAAGCACCCAGGCCTTGGGAGTAGCACATGGCAAAGGAACATTGAAGCGGGACAGTGCTGACATACTCAGAAAACAGCAGAGAGGCAGGTTGGAGTATGACGGCAAGGAGGAGTGGTATGGGATGGACCAAGGGTCCTGGTAAGCAGTCCTGGACCCTGAGAGGTGAGGCTAAATCTCCAGAGGCTCCTGGTTTGAGGAGGGGCTCCTAGCAACATTCAAATTCTTAAGGAGACCCAGATGCCTGAGGCTTTGCTATGTCGTTGGAAGAGGTAAGAAATTTAGGTGTCATTAAAAGAGCCCCAAAATACATGCAGCAAAAATTGGCAGAACTGAAGGAAGAAATTGACAATTCAGTCATAACAGTTGGAAACCTCAGTACTGCACTCTCAGTTATCAGTAGAATATCCAGACAGATGGACCCAGCAGAGTGCACTGTCCCCTCAGTCATGAGGAACCTTCTCCAGGGTAGACCCCTTGCTAGGCCACAAAACCAGTCTCAGTAAATCTGAAAGGATTGATACCATACAGTCTTCTCCAAACACAGTGGAATGAAATTAGAAATCCATAGCAGAATGAGCCCTGGAAGATTCACAAGGTGGAAACTAACATAAATGGCCAGCAGGCAACCGAAAAGTTATGTATGGAAGCCTGTTGAGATTGAGATGCTAGAGGAATCTCCTCTGCAACAACTGAGGCAGCTTGGGCCTAACAACTTTCAGGAGCACTGGCTGGGCTGCTGGCTGTTGCCCTGTGCATAACTTAGGAACACAGGCCTTCACTGCTTCTCCCTAGTCTTTCACTGAGCAAATGCTGAGGAAGCTCCTGCTGTGTGGTGCCGAGGGCCAGTCCCCTCCTGGAACTTTGAGTCTAGCAGGGGACCCTGACACGGAGCAATGAGGCCAAAGGACCAAGGGGTTTGTTCTCACATGGGAACTTAGAGACCTGAGGGAAAGGAGGACATCAGTGGATGAGGAGACAGTGTCTACAGAGCCCAGAGAGGGTGGTCATTTCCAGATCCCAAAAGTCAATCCAGGAAGTGGCAGGTCCCAGTTCCTGCAGAGCCACGGGACGGTAACACAGCTCTTTATTATCAGATGTCAGCCCCGGTCACTGCTGAATCATAGTGCTGTGGGCTCAGGAACCCCCATTCAAGGGTCTCCAAACCTGGCCCTTCAACTCTTGGCTGCCCTCAGGACATTATTCCAAATCCCAACTCACCTGTTCATGCTTGTCCCTGAGCTTTCAAGCCCTGTCCAAGGGTGTAACATCCAGTGGAAGTGAGCTTGCTGGGAGAGCAAAGCCACTGCCAGGTGTGAGCTGTAGCAAGGACTGGCACGTTGGGCTGAGCAAATGCCACCTATTTATCCAGTTGACCCCGTGCCACTTCCCTGTGAGGGAGGCACCAGCACCCTGTTTTCCAAATGAGATAATTCTTTGCCCAAGGTTTCCCATTTAAGCAATGGCAGAGCTGGAAGAAACTCTCTAGATCTAGAAGCCTTGAAGAGGGGGGTTGAGCACTCTCACGCTCCACTCATGCCCTGTTTGGGCCCAGTGGTGTGTTCACAGCTGCCCCAAGGACTATTGAATAGCCCCGTTGTGAGAAGGGTTTGTGTTCCCTAGCACTTGGATGGATGGTCCCCTGTGAGCTCCCAATCCCCTGAGACACACCTGGGGACAGTGTCATCCTCTCCCTTCACAAATACTTCCAGGAAGGCTCTTAGGACACAGACTTGGAGCAAGAAGCCCAGGTTGGTTTTTCTGACTCAAACCCTAGTCATTGACTCACACAGGAGAGAAGGTCCAGGTTGGAATCCTTTTCTTACTGTCCAAGCTCTCACCATCCTTCAAGATGGGCCAGTCTACACACTCTTGCCCACAAGCTAAGGTGGTGTTTACATTTTTAAAAGATTGTAAAAACAATATACAGCATGTGGTCCTCAGAGCTGGAAATACTTTCTGACCCTTTATGAGGAAAGTGTGTTGCCCAGGCTTTAGGAGGTCCTCACTAGTGCAGAGTCAGGTTCCAGCTTCAGGAGGAAAGCAGGGAGGGTGTCAGGTCACCAGCAAGAATTAGCTGCCCCAGCTTTAGGAGGGTCCCTCCAGATCCTCCCTCGCCTACAGTTTAGTTTAGTGCAGTTACTGCCTCCACACGTGCTCTGCCGTGTGAAAAGCTCTTTCACACGCACCACCTCATTTCATCCCTCAGCTCCTCCAGGCAGGTGGTCATTTGGCTAACCATGAGTCTTAGGGGCTTTTCTGAAACTAAGAAAACTGGCTCCTCTGCTGTTTCTTAAGCACCTCAGGAGGAGTGATGTTCAATCTTCCGCATTTGCTTTCTGCTGCTTAGTTCTCAAGAAGCATACATCCCTGAGAAGGGCCATACAGGAGGGATTATATGTTACCCTGGGTTGGGAGGGGACTCATTTCAGGCCTCTTAATTGTTAGTTGTTCACATTCTAAAACTAAAGGTTGTTAAGGAAAGGTTCTTTGGTTTGAGTCTTTCAGGGTGTGTGTGTGTGTGTGTGTGTGTGAGAGAGAGAGAGAGAGAGAGAGATCGTTCAGTAGGTTTGTAGTCTATGAATTGTTCTATTCTGAGCACGTTGCAGCAGACTTTGGTCCGAGGCATCAAAGTTCTAGGTTGCTCTGGAAACAATGGCCTACCTTGAAACAAGGTTCCTTACCGTGGAATATGCCAGGGCAAGGAATGGAAACCACCACAATCCGGTGTTAGGCAACCGTTTTTATTTTTTATTTTTATTGTTAATCTAAATCAAAGGTTATTTTTTCATTGATTTTTAAAGAGAGTAGAAGGGAGGGGGAGAGAGAGAGAGACATCGATTGGTTGCCTCCCAAGCACGCTCTGACTAGGGCCAGGGATCAAGCCTACAACCTAAGTTCGTGCCCTGGACCAGAATCGAACCCAGGACCCTTCAGTCAGCAGGCTGATGCTCTATCCACTTAGGCAAACTGGCTAGGGCTAGGCAACCATTTATTTTAATTAAACAGTCCAGCTGCCCTTCAGAGTGGAGAACGGGTCGCTTTTCAGCTCTTGGCAAAATGAGTTTTGGCCAGGTAAAGTTTCACTATGCTTGAATTTGGGAGTGACACACCAGTTAGCTGTAACCTGTGGAGAAACAAAGAAACCGATCCTTGTGCTGTAAATGTGCTGTCAATCATTAAGAGGATTCCTTAGCACGTGGCCTGGTCTGCAGAAGGTTCATGGGGGAGTTCTGAGCGTGAGATTGAAAGTTCCTCTGTGACTTGGTGGCTGAGCTAAGGGAGTTGGCCCTCAGTACTGTGTCTCAGGATCCATTCATTACGGAGCTTCTGAGCTGTTAGGTGAGAGGGCAGCTTGGCCCTCTCTTCCACCCTGACATGTGCTCTCGTTTCAGAGGTCAGCTGGAGGCTCCAGCCCTGAAGGTGGTGAAGGTGAGGAAACCTCTAAAACGTTTCACTGTCTTTCATTGTAAAAATGGAAGGAGCCTGATTTTCTCCTCCTCCTCATTGTTTTCTGTAGATTCTGACAGAGAAGATGGAAATTACTGCCCTCCTGTCAAGCGAGAAAGGACGTCCTCTTTAACCCAATTCCCACCTTCACAGTCAGGTAACAGCTACAGACCTTTATTGAGTGACAAAAGCATTCATGTTTACAAGCCCACTGTTCCCCCTTCAACATCTCACACTCATCTGTCTCCTGCCCAGATCCAGTTAGAATCAATCTGAGACTTGGTCTCTGTCACGATAAGGTTAGAGCTTGCCAGAGGTGTGGCACCAGGTACCCCAGTCTGGGATCAGTGACACTTATGGAGGGGTGTGACCTAGTGGACTGATAAGAAAGATGCACCAAGAAAAATCGTCCCTCTGAAATAAAGGGACTATCTGAGCCCTATTGGGGCCTCTGACCATTAATCACATGTCCACCTTCCAAAAGCTGCTTGGAAGTGGGGGATTCTCCTGACCCTTCTGCCTAGACCTTGGTGGTCCAATTGAGAAGAACACACACATGGTTCATAGTGAGCTGAGTGGTCCCAATAGACACTGTGGTGGTGGATTGCCTTGAGCTCCCCGAGGAAAGGGCTTGGTGGAGGCTTGAAAGGTGGGCCAGACTGGACCCCTGTAGAGGTATCTGGACTGGGCATGATCTGAGCACATGCACAGAAGCCAGAAGACCAGCCACAGCTTATGCAAAGTCTGGTGCAGAAAAGAGGTAGGTTCAAGGGTAGAGAGAGACACTGGGGCTACTTAGTGGGGGCTCCTCGAGCCTGGGGACTCCCCTGTAGTTTGGAGGGTCAGTGCTGTCACAGGGCTGCTCCCTCTCCTCCCCACCTCATCTGGACTTGGTCCACTCTGGCATTGTCCCATCTTGGTCTCTGTAACCATGACTTAGAGATGCGCGTGTATTGGGAGAGGATCTCTAGTTACCCAAATTGAAGTTCATTCTTGCAAAGTTCATATAAAACATTTACAACTGTAAACTTTAAAGATATTACTTTAAGGAGGGAAAAAAGACACTCTTGGAAAGTTTGTTTCTGCTTATAAAAGTAATGCAGACTTTACAGGAATAGCTGGTGCAGAAAGTGAGCGTCCTCTCAAGGTTGTCTCTATAACACACTTAATTTCCTACCTATTTCCCTTAACACTTTTTTTTTTTTTACGTTGCCACGTCCTTTTTCATGACTGCATAAGACCCCCTCCCCTGAATGGATGCACTGTCAGTTGCCCATTAGGCATTAAGGAACTGTCCAGATGGTTTGCAGTGGACATCCTTTTTTAAGGGCCTCTGCCCGCTTGTTGTATAGGTGTTTCTATGGAATGAGGAAGCATCCACTTCCTGGCTGTGATTGTGTTCCTTCTGTTCACTGTCTACTGCTGAACCACACTTTCTCATTAGGAAGGTGTAGCAGAGAAGAGACGAGGTGATTTGAATTGTGCACTAGGCTGAAGGGGCAAAGGACTACCAAACATTTTCTCTCTCTAGTGCAGTGGTTCTCAACCTTCCTAATGCCGCGACCCTTTAATACAGTTCCTCATGTTGTGGTGACCCCCAACCATAAAATGATTTTCGTTGCTACTTCATAACTGTAATGTTGCTACTGTTATGAATAGTAATGTAAATATCTGATATGCAGGATGTATTTAGGCGACCCCTGTGAAAGGGTCGTTCGACCCCCAAAGGGGTCGCGACCCGCAGGTTGAGAACTGCTGCTCTAGTGCATTGGTCTAGGACAGTGGTCGGCAAACTGCGGCTCGCGAGCCACATGTGGCTCTTTGGCCCCTTGAGTGTGGCTCCTCCACAAAATACCGACTTCTGCGCATGGGCCACAAAGTTTCAATCGCAATGTACGTGCGCGCCCGCACGTGGTATTTTGTGGAAGAGCCACACTCAAGGGGCCAAAGAGCCGCATGTGGCTCGCGAGCCGCAGTTTGCCGACCACTGGGAGATAATCGGCTCCCAATCCTCAGAGGAAAAGGAAAGATGAGCAGTGCCAGTAAGATCCAAAACAGGTGGGGGTGGGGAGTGCAGCCAACTTTTGAGCCCGGACTGGTGACAAGGAGCAGGGGCTGAGGCTCAGCCCCAGGTAAGACTTGGTACATCTGGTGTGCTCCGATTTCCTCCTGGCTGCCCCCACGGGCCTAGGGTGCCAAGGAAAAGCCAGGGGCATGAGGACAGGAGAAATGACCACAGTGGACCAGAGTGAACTGGTAGACATCAGACAGAGGCCATTAGGCTGGAGACTCCCCTCTTCTTGCTGTAGAGTGTGTGGAGTATCTAAAGGCCTTATTCATTATGCTGACCCCCACCTCTTCCACCACAGTGGGGCTTGGAGATCAACCCCTCATGTCTGCCCCACCTACTCACTCTGTTTTTCCTCTTGTTCCCCCCCTGCCTGCACCTCCTTGCTGACAGTATCAAAAAACAATGTTTTTATGCCATCAACCTTCTGCGAGCCATCTGCAGGCAATTCTGACTCAGAACCAGGTGAGCCCTCACATCCCTTTGCCTTTCACAGCCAGTCACTGGGGGTTTTCCTGGGATGAAAAGCAGTTAATATTGTAAAATAGCACCTTAACAGCAATGGACAGTTTGAAAGCAGAGTTCAGTTTCTAAATGTTTTCCCAACTGTTTAGCTTGTACATTTGGAATCCAGTGTAAGAGAGGCTTCATAAGCCCTTATTTCTGTTTCTGTAAGTAAGCCTGTTTACAAGGATTTTTATATCCTTCTTGAAAAAAAGAAAGAGGTGTATTACTTGTTTTTCAAAATTTTACACAAGTAATACATTTATGTAATTTTTAAAAAGGCAGATTAGAAATAAATAGACTTAAAGAATTAGGCTGCCCCTTTCCCACTGACTACCATCCCAAAGGTAACTAATGTGAAATGTAATTTCCCAGACCCCTTTTCGGTTATTAAATTCCCACATTAATTAGTATGGCTTAGATGTGTTCGGATAAATGCATATATTTAATCACGGCTTTAAAACTTTAAGGAAAACAGCTTGCTCCCCTCTGAAGAACATAGAGCCTGCCTTTTTTGGTCTTTTGCAGGAGAACTAACTCCAATAATTCCTGAAAGTTTCTCCTCATAAAAGATTTAATGAGCAAGTTTAACCACCCTAATTCTGTAACCAAACCTGCCTTATATAAATTCATTGCCGACTTCAAAAGCATTGCAAGATAACTCATACTCTGGCATGAGAGTGATGTCAAGGGAAGAGGCTAGTTTTTATAACTTTGAGGATTGATTTGATGGCACCATTTCAAACAGTTGAATTTGTTCTGACTCTGAAAGCAAACTGTTTGGAGTTGACCCCCCTTCCCACTTCTGAAGAGGAACTTGGTTTTTAAAGGTCTTTGGTCGTACCTGGGGCACTGGTTTAGCAAGTTGTGTTCTGAGGTGTGGGGGTAGTGTTAGTCTTTGCGAGTCTGTTTTGGTCTAGGGATCAGTAGCTGAAGACACACATCTTGATCCCTTTATGCCATGGAGTTCTATTATGAATCTCAAGATCACCTCTGAGGTCTGTGAGTGATGGCCTCACTCCCTCTCTCTGCCCCCAAAACCTTTATCCAGCAGCATTGAGAGTGGGGTAGCCCTGCGAAAGGGGACAGCTTAGTCTGCTTTAGCAGAGGTTCTGATACAGCCCTGGTCCCTGGTACCTGATGCAGCATGCCAGTCATATTAGATTTGCACATCAGCTCTGCAAAGTGAGCCTCTTATATGCTTGCCTGTCTTATTTTTTAGCTTAATGGGGGAGCGGGGGGAGGGGGGGGGGACCTAAAACTTACGGAAAATTTTTATAAAGCATCTCTCTATCCCTTTACCTAGAAGGCTCCATGCGTTCTTCAGAGCAAAGACATCAGATTCTAATCACATGTCTCTCTCTCCATCTGAAACAGTTGCTCATTCTTTCCTTGACTTTTGTGACCTTGAAGATTACAGGCCAGTTATTTTGGAGAAGTCCTTCAATTAGCGGGTGTCTGATGTGTCCTGGGGCTTCCACCCAGGTTGTGTATTTGGGACTGGAATGCCATAGAAGTGCAGCCGTGCTCTCCCAGTGCACCCCAGTGGTGGCACACCATGTGTACTCTACCTGGTGCAGGCCAGGTTGACTTTGATCACTTGATTAGGGTGGAATCTGCCCGGTATCTCCACTATAAAATTATTTCTTCTTTCTTTGTCATTACTATTTTCTGGAGAGATACTTTTTTTTTCTTTTCTTTTCTTTTTTCCTTATTGATTAAGGTATTACATATGTGTCCTTATCCCCTCATTGCCCCCCCACCCCATTCCCATTCATGCCCTCACCTCCTGGTGTCTGTGTCCATTGGTTATGCTTATATGCATGTATACAAGTCCTTTGGTTGATCTAGCCAGTTTGCCTCAGTGGAGAGATACTTAGAGACATGAGGAAATCTCTCATATTGCCCTCCTTTGTTAGCATCCATTAATGTTTTCTTGCTTGAATTAATTATTACTCTGATGATGACCACATGGAGATTTTCTGCCCCATTTTTGCCCCAACATTTATTAATTGGCATTCTACTATAAGGAGCAGCTTTCTTTTCCCCACTTTACTTAGTCATTTGTGTCGATATGGATTTATGGATTCCTGTTTTAGTCAGTGGGTTGCAATTTGTTATTAGTTTTTATTTTAATATTCAGATTTTATTTTGATCATCAGTTATTTTAATTGTTCCAGATTTGGCCAATGGGCCCCATCAAGCCAGGTTCCTGTGTCCTTTTCCCAAGTCCCTGTCATTCTTTTAAGCACTTTCTTTACTTTCTGTCATAATAAGAGGTTCCAAGCTCATCATCTTTCCCCTTTTCTCAAAGGAGTCATAGTTCTTAATGGAGCATGGTCTCAAGAAACCAAGATCTGGGTGCTCCGTGTGTTCACCACCATTTGGGCTGTCATTGCTCTCAGGACCTCTCAGTGCCCAGAGCTGGGAACACACACACACACACACACACACACACACACACACACAACTAGGAACATATACACATATACCTATACGCATATATATGCTTACATTTACATATATTTCTACATCTCTATCTGGATACTTCCAATTCATTGCCAACAGGATTCATCTTAACCTCCCCCTCTGTATATCTACCTCTCTTTTCTAAGAAACCTGACTCCCTCTGTCCTCAATACATTTATTTACTCATTGCTCCATTCCCCCATATGTGGTCAAGCACTCTTCTCCCCCTGCACCAGCACTGCCCTTACACACCCCAGCCCTCATCAGGCTGCCTTCTCTTGGATTCTTTCCAACCCCTGGTATACATCAGGTTGAATTCTGATATATTTTCCTGTTAAATCTGGGCCTCCCTGGATGGTGAACATTACTTCCTCAGAAGTCACTCAGGATCTTCCTGAGGCAGGACACAATGTACCCTCAAAGGAGCCTGCTTGCTTCAAACATGATTTGGAAGAGGAAAGAGGCTGCCCCAGAGGGGAGTCCTCTCCCGCCAGGGAGCTCACAGAAGGGGATGCATGTGCCCTTAAGAAGACACCAGTGTAGCCACCTGTGTGTAGTGGGGCTCTGGCCTCCAAGCAATGCCTCTTCATTGTACCCTGACCATCTTGCAGGAGGCCATGAGAAGAGATCATATTTGTTTTAGTGAAGATGGGGCTGCAGCAGGGGCCTCCAGGGTTTGACTGCCCTGTAAGCACACCACCCTCCTGCTTTGGCCCCTTCAGAAGTGTGGTACACCTTGCTAATCTGTCCATCAATTTACTGTAGCATTCAGCATAGATTTCCTGTGCATCTTCAGGGTTGGCCTGGCACCAGATGCCAAGTTAGTGAATGTTCACTGGCAGTAATTTCTGGGCCCGCTGCCCACACTGATCAGCATAGGTCAGCCCCACAGGTCAGTGGCTGTTAGCATTGGCTCTGCACAGGGCTCAGTGGTCGCCATCAATGTGTAGCCACAATGTGAGCATTGCAGAGCCAGCTCTAAGAGCTTTAGAAGTTTTCTAAATTGTGAATTTCATCTCAATTTTTTAGTTTTATATTGCCAATCATCTTCTGAATAACCCTAAGCTTTGGAAATGTAATTCAGTATTTTCCTTCTAAAAAGGAACATCTGGCAGCATGTCTTCCCCTGCATCCTGTTTTGTCTGATTTCCCGAGTGTGGTTTTTATGGCCCACAGCTCTCTTATGGGAGAGACACCACCCCACTAACACAGGCTCTAGAAGCCTGGCAGGCTCCAGTCCTTTTTACTAACTAGCAGTGAGAGTTTCTGTAATCCTATTTTTGCCCAAGGAAAGCAGTTTGGCTCACCAACATGTCGACAACAGGAAGAGGGCCCTTCTGTTTTACTCAGAATTCTGATTTGATTTTGTTTCCTACCTGAAAGTGGTCTGACAGCATTTGTGATATCATTTTAGTGTATAATTGGTTGGTTTTAGTGTATCCACAGAGTTGTGCAACTGTCACTGCAATTAATTTTAGAACATTTTAACCACCCCCAAAAGAAGTCCCATATCCTTTAGCAGTCATTCCTCATTCTATCTTTCCCAGCCCCTGGCAGCCATGAATCCACTTTCTGTCTCTGGATTTGTGTGACCTTTTGAGGTATCTTTTAAGTCTTTACTTTCTTCCAACAATATGGAATTGTTTTCTTGACTTCATTTTGGGTTGTTTGTTGCCAGTGTATAGAAACACACTGATTTCTGTATGATTATCTTGTGCCCTGAAATCTGGCAAGGGTGTTTTCCGATGTGTTGGACCTTAGCACAAAAGCAAGGCTGCCTCTGGTGGCCTAAAATGCTGCTGTCCCTCTGCTTCTCCAGATACAGACCTGGCCTGTTAGAGTCACAAAGCTTTTTATGCTGATCCTTCCCACCAAGGATTGCATTAAACTGTCTCCTCCACCCCACCCCCTTATGAGATGGGCAAAGTCACCAAGATGCATTGATTAAGGGATCTGTGGACGTGTGGCTAAGCAAAAACCAGGTTTTGAATATCCCAAGAGCCCCTGTATTTGTCAGCCTGAACTCAAGTCCTGGGGGAGGCCCCGCCTCCTCACATGTGGCCAGGACAAACAACCCTGCTTCCTTCTTCCAGGCCTTCCGGTGCTCTCACTAAGCAATGAGACAAAGCTCTCCAGGCATATCTAGAAAGAGAGCAAGTCCACTATGTGCCACTCTTGATCTCTTGCCAAAGAAAACATTTCTCATTTCCCACACATCTGTTGGTAGTACAAAGAGCTCTCCTGACAAGTGCTCTAGGAAAGAGAAATGCAACTCTGGATACCTTTATTCGGTGGCCCTGTGACATTCTCCAGGGCCTGCAAGTGCAGCATGGCATCCAAGGTCCTGGCAAAGTCCAGCCTGGCACTCACCTTCTGGATGGAAGGGCTCCTTGGTGGAGTGGTCACCCTCACTTCTATCTTGCACCTTTGACACCCTCTGGTCTTCCATTCGCTGCAGTTTGCCCCGAGCCACACTTCCTGCAATCCCCTGCCTCCTCACCCAGGCTGCCTTACAGCCTTGGTGGTTGGATAGGACTTCTGCATTTCTGTTTCAGTTTGAAATCATTTCCCTTGTTCTCTAGGCCCCTGGCTACTGAGGCCCAGACAACCACCCTCTCCTGCCCCTGCTCCCTCCCAGCCTCACCATCCCACTCTAGGAAGGCTTTTTTTTTTTTTTTTTATCTTTTGTCTTGTGCTTGTAGAGGAAAAGAGCAGTGGGTTCCGGTTGAAGCCACCAACACTGATCCATGGCCAGGCACCCAGTGCAGGTAGGTGCCCACGTTGGAGGAGGAGAGGAGAGTGGCTTTCTCATACCCTTCCAGGCTTCTGCACAGCTGCCTAAGGCAACCCACCAGTGCATTCTGGGCTGGTACCTGACACCTGAGCTATGGAAAAACACTATAAAGAGCCTGTCAGACCAGGGAGCTTCTCTACTCTGAAGTGGAGGTGACAAGGGAACAAGCTTGGGTTGGTATGGGAGTTTGGGCTCTGTGCCCAGTGATAGCTCAGTTGGTTCCAGCTGTCTTTCCAGAGCATTCTAGCCCCAGCACGCCATATCGTTAACCCTGATTTGCAGAGTGGCCTCAATTCAATAGCACACTGTTCGTGAGTAAGGCCAAGTGATGGCGCTCTGAAGACCTGTCAGGTCCAAAGGGAGCCCAAGCAGGGCCAAAAATGTTTTCTCATGGTCCTTGCCCTAGTTGTATTTGGCCAGAGGTATTTTCTCAATGTGGCATTTTTAAAAAGCAGGTGCTGCCTTAACTGGTTTGGCTCAGTGGATAGAGTGTCAGCCTGGGGACTGAAAGGTCCCAGGTTTGATTCCGGTCAAGGGTACAGGCCCAAGTTGCAGGCTCAATCCCCAAATAGGGGGCGTGCAGGAGGCAGGCAATCAATGATTCATCATTGATGTTTCTATCCCTCTCTTCCTCTCCTTTCCTCTCTGAAATCAATAAAAATATATTTTAAAAAATAAAAAGCAGGTGCAGAGGGTGCCTTTCTGTGATCCCAAGCAGCAGCCTAAATTCTGGGGGATTGCCTGTGGCTTTGCTGCTTTCCCCTCAGGTCTGTGCTTGACCTTTGAGCCCAGCACTTGAGAACAGCTGTCCCTTGGCTTCCCCCGAAGCATTAGTGTACTCACTGGGTTAATTCATAGACATGATCAGTTACATGGAAATGTCATTTAATCACATGTAAAAATAGCAATAACCAAACTCTGTATGTTTAGCTGTAAAGAAAGTGTTTTGGGTTTGTTTTTTTAATGTGCTTCCTTCCTGGCCGCTGTGGCTCAGTGGTTGAGCATGGACCCATGAACCAAGAAGTTGCAGTTTGATTCTGGTCATGGCACATGCCCGGGTTGTGGGATCGATCCCCAGTAGGGGGCACGCAGAAGGTAGCTAATCAATGATTCTCTCTCATCATTGATGTTTATATCTCTCTCTCCCTCTCCCTCCTCTCTCTAAAATCAATAAAAACATTTTCTAAAAAAAAAAAAACACAGATGTGCTTCCCTACAGAGTCTAGTCTATGAGGAACATGAAATGGATTGCTGGATTTAATTTGTCTGTAAAGTGCCTGAGAGCCTGAGCTGTTGCATTTCTGCCCACGAGGTCCAAGGGCGCTGGGCAAACCGACCTCTGTTCCCAGGTCTGCCAAGCCAGAAGCCCAAGGAGCAGCAGCGGAGCGTGCTTCGCCCGGCAGTGTTACAAGCCCCACAGCCAAAGGCACTCTCACAGGCCGGTAAGAAACGCAGCCCTGGTACAGGCTGGCGTGGCAGAGTTGATTATTACAGAAGTCGCTTCTGGGACAGCCATGTCATATCTGCCAAATGCACAAAGAAATAAAGTGCTGGGAAAGCAGCCCTTTATATTCCTGGTGAGCCTAGTAAAGACATGAGGCCAAGCCTGACTGCTGGTGCAAATGTGCCGTGTGCACGCCCTGGCCTCATAAATGCTGCCTCCACTTCCTGAGCGGTTCAGATTCGTCCCTACACGTTTGCAGGCAGAACTCAGCCCTGCAGTCTCAGAAACTCGAAGGGTAACTTTCACATGTTTTCATTTTACTTGCCAACCTTGAGACGTGACTCTTAAACCATATTTTCATTACATCCACATAGGCAGTGGTTTTCAGTTAATCTTTAATTTTCTTCATGTGAATGAGCTCTTGTCTTCCTCTTGATCTTTCCCTATAATTCGAGAATTCTTCATCAAAAGCCACGCAACATCCCACATGAGGGAAATAGTAACATTTCTGAAGAGTTTTTAATTACATGGGAAGTTTTTTTATGTAATAGTCAACAGTCAAAGCTAGATTTGAAGTTGTGCGTGTCATGTAATCTCAGCTATTTAAAGGAAAAATGCATAGAATGAAGATAACATTTGTAAAACTTGTTTTGTAAAACTCATAATTCTTCCCCCAATATTTGTTCTTTTAATCTAAGAGTTTGTTGCTTTTAGTAGAGATACTAGACCCTTTCTTATAAAAGGAGAAATTATATACTGTTGGTCCAAATGGTGGCAGAAGAAAGCATTAGAGGTGGTCTAGCACTAACTCCATGATTCTCACTCTGTCGGTTTGTCCCCACAGTTCCAAGCAGCGGCACCAATGGGCTCAGCATCCCAGCAGACTGCACAGGAACAGCGACATCGACATCAACGTCGCCTGACAACCCCACACAGAGAAGTCCACCTGATGAGGCGCCAGCACCTGAGGTCCGTCTGTGCCAGGGCAGGGAGCACACCTCACAGGAGACTTCTCAGGCTTTGCTGAGCACATAGACTGTTAGCTGCTCTGAGCAGTGCCAGTTTGTTCTGTGTTCAAGCTTTCTGGATTTGCTCAGCAGTATCAGTGCTGATGAACGCCAAGAGAGGGGAGGGGTGTCTTTATGGTTCTGAGAGAAAGATGCTGTGAGCAAAGCTCTGCTATAGAGTCCTGTGTTGCCCGAATCCAGCATGTCATTTCCACATGTCCTGGGGCAGCATTTCTGCTAGTTGGCACACTAACCTTTGAGCCTTGGGGAGCCACCGGGACCGGAGGGATGGCTTTCATTAATGAGATCCTTGCACCATTTTGTGGGGACAAATGTCTTCCCTCCCTGTTTCCATACCCCAGCGACTCTGGGGATTCGTACACGTGTGCTCTTTTAAATGCCTGGGGAGTCAGCTCAGAAATTGTTTGTTTTTAAAAGACATCCTTTATGGTTCTGGAATTATATAGGACAGAAGCATCTGTTTTCCAGTAGTGCTGCAGAGCAGCTGGGAAACAGGCATTTCATGAAGCACCTGCTCTTGGGGTTGACAGACAGATTTGGAATCCAAATTGCAATACTGCACCTTGCCTCAGACGCAAGCCAGACTGCGTCTGTGTGCCTTTGCCCTCGGCCACTTTAACAGATAAGTTGCTGCCAGAGGTTCTCTATCCTCTGCCTCCCTCATCCTCACCCTCACCCCCCATAGGTGTTCAGGCTCAAATGGTGAAAATGATCATCTACATTTCTATTTTGAAACATCTATGAGGTCCCCCCCACCTTCAACCCAGTTAATGGAATTGGAAGTAGAAGTTGTTTTTGTAACATATGCTTCATGGAACTTTGGTAGCTGGGTCTCAGGGAAGTCAGCTGCACATCTCTGCACCAGAGGGAGACCAAAAGTGACCCCACTGTCCTGTCCTCCCCATGTTCCTGGCTGCCTCACTTTTCCGATTGGTTCTGGCCCCTCCTCGGATGTTCCTCAGCCCAGGGACCCTCGTCAAGGGACATGCAATTGTGCTATAAGATGATTCAGCTTGCTCATCAGGGCTAATGTGTCCCTTCTTTACAGTTGTCGTTGTTCTGTTTAACTAGGAGAAAGAGCCCCAGAAAAATGAGTCTAGCAGTACTTCTGAGGAGGACAGCTGTGAGAAAAAAGAGCAAGTTGCACAGCAAGCGTTTGTATTTGGGCAGAACTTGAGGGACAGAGTTAAGGTATGCACTCAGAGGGCTGGGGGAGCCGTTGAACTCAGGGATTGATCTCTGTATGTCTCTCGCCAGGTTCGAGAACAGGAATTGCTTCTGAAGGGTGGGGCAGACACAGAGGCTGTGTTGTGAAGTGGTCCTGTGACTCTCAGCACGGCCGGCAGCTGCTTGTTGTGCATGTTTCCCATACTCAGCTGCTCAGCCACCCAGGCTGCCTGCCATCCCTCCATCCTCAGTGGGACTCAGCGGTGGCTCCTGGCTACAGGGGACAAAGGGGCAACCAGTGCGAGGTTTTTGTTTTCTTCAGGGTTTTTTATCTCAACACTAGCAGCATTCAGACCAGATTGTGTTTAGTTGTTGGAAGCATGACCTACTCACCACTGTGGGTTGTTGAGCAGCATCCCTGGTCCCCACCCTCTAGATACCAGGCGTATACCCTCTCAGTTGTGACAACCACACATGCCCCCAAGTAGTGCTGAATGTTTCCCACGGGACCAGATTGCTCCCGACAGAACCATCATCTTATTTTCAAAAGTAGGGCAGGTGGAAAGATTGTTTTCTCTCCCATAGGAGCAACAGTATCTGCCACCTCGGGTGGGTCCTGCCCCCAGGCAGGTGGGTCCAGTCTGGGGACTGAGTTGGGGTGGGGGCATCTGGCAGTGGCAGGGGTCTCAGCTCTGCACCCTCTGTGCTAGCACTTCAGAAAGACTAGAGTGAGCAGCACTACGTTTTGCAGCCACAGATATGGAATGTTGTTCTGTGCCATTTCCAGCAGCTCACCTGGCAGGAATCTCCTTTAGAGGACTGAGAGGCAGTGTCAGTGGCCATGTCTGGGGACATCTGTGGTTGTCACACTAGGGGGAAGGTACTCCTGGCATCGAGTGGGTAGGGGCCGGGGATGCTGCTCAACACCCCACAGTGCCCAGGACCATCCAGCCCCAATGTCAGTGATGCTGAGGATGAGAGACTCGGAAATAAGGAAACAAAAGTCACCACATAGAAAACATGCCACCTGTGTTCTCCTGTGGTGTCACTGTCCAAGAGAAGCACAGATGCCCCAGGAGACAAAACTAAGTGTTGATGTCATATGACTTTAGCCAAAATAATGCGTTCCTTGGGGACTGCTCCCTCCGGGAAGAGGAAAGTGAAGGAACAGCCTTGAAATCTACCAGCCCTGGGGGCAGTGTCTGGCCATCCATCTAGTTGAGTCTGCTCCTCAAGTTCAGGGCAATGCTACCTTGACATGGGGGCAGGGGCAGTGTCTCCTAGAGATCCAGGGCTCATGTGGTCTCTGAGGTCTTGGTCACATCCCACCTTCTCCACAGAGGGTGACTCCAGGCCATGGTCTCCTAGCTCCTCTGAGCTCAAGCTTCCTCGCTCACAGGACCAAGTCCATCCTTCCACCCCTCAGGGTGCCCAGGAGTAGTGCGTTAGGTCACGTATGTGATGGAGCAGACAGGGCAGCTGGCATCAATGAAGCCCTCAAACAACAGTGCTTTATGTTCTTAATAAACCCCTTAAAACACCAGATTTATAAGTGTTCTGTGATCTCGGAATAGAAGTGATGAAAATGCTAACAAGATGCCAACCTGAGTGCATTTTTTATTTTATTTTTTTAAAACAAGGTAGAAAAAGTCCACTAACATTTTATGAATTGTTTTTGTACCTTAACTGTGAAAAGCAAAAAGTTCTGGAATTGATTACAGCGCCAGCACCCAGTGCTCACACACAAGCCCCTGCATGCACATTGATGGGATTTGCATGTTGAGCTGTGCCACACGGCGGAGGGATTGTGCAGCCAGGCCAAGCTGTAGAGGTCCAGAATGTGTGTTCTCTGAGTATAGTGTTTCTATTTCCCAGTTAATAAATGAAAACACTGAAGCAGCTGACATGGAAAATGCCGGACACCCCAGTTCAGAAACGCCAACCGCGACCAACTATTTCCTTCAATATATCAGCTCCAGGTATGTGTGTGAGGCCCTGTGTCCAGCCTCAGAGGCACTCAGGTCATTCATCCACCTTGTCTGTGGCCCAGAGAGGAGGCAGAACCCAGACCAGGAGCCAGCCTGGTCCTTCCCTGGGGGGCAGGATGGAGGGGAAGGAGCAGAATCCTCCAGAATTCCAGTTGCTCCCTAGTCCCATTCTTCTTTCCCACTTGGCACAGCTGTGGAAGGGCCAGGACAATGGACTTTGATGGACAACTTTGAGGCAGGACCTGAGTTCTGTGGGGTTGTCCAGCCCAGCTCTCAGAGTGACTTCTATCACCAGGACCTTGTGCCCAGAACAGAACCCAGTGGCCGGTGGCAGCTCAGCTGCCTCTTGTTACCCACCAGGTTCTGCCCCTGAATTCACAGTCCATCTTCTTTTCAGTTTAGAGAACTCGACCAATAGTGCCGATGCCACCAGCAACAAATTTGTATTTGGCCAGAACATGAGCGAGCGCGTATTGGTGAGTGGCCCCTATGGGGACTGTTCTTCCTGGGGCCCAGAAGGTTTTTAGAGCTCCCCAGCCCAGGTCAAAGGAATGTGAGTGTGGCTGCCGCGTTGTCTCTTGGAAAATTCGGATGATTTCAGTTGCAAGTAAGAAAGAAGACTCAGCTTAAAGTCAGGGGCAGGGTTATTTGCTCTCCAGGAGCCAGTGTTCCATTTCCAGTCTTTCCTCATTCTAAGACAGGTTTCCTGAGGCACAGGCCATGCTTTCCTTGTGAAGTCTGGCTACAGGTACAGCCATCAGACCAGTCCTTAGCTGCACGCTGCTGGGGCCCACCAGAGCCACTTCTGGAGCCAACGATGGTCCTCCCACCTGCCAATGAGGCTGCGGCACAAAGGGGGGGGGACAGGTGTGGTGGCCTCAGAGGGACCCTGTGTCCCATGTACTCCCGACACATCACAGCCAGGGTTGGGTTCTGGGATTGTTTACGTGCTTCCTTACTTCATCCCTTTTTTTAAAAAAAAATATATTTTATTGATTTTTTACAGAGAGGAAGGGAGAGAGATAGAGAGCTAGAAACATTGATGAGAGAGAAACATTGATCAGCTGCCTCCTGCACATCTCCCACTGGGGATGTGCCCGCAACCCAGGTACATGCCCTTGACCGGAATCGAACCTGGGACCTTTCAGTCCGCAGACCGACGCTCTATCCACTGAGCCAAACCGGTTTCGGCCCTTTTTTTCCCCTGATCAAATGGGCACAGCCCTTCTGTGTCCATTGTCAGTGTGGCTACAGAGCTGTTTTGGGTCCAACCAATTCTGTCCATGTTTGTCTCAGAATACATTACATTAAAAAGCCCTCTGCTTTTTTCTCAAGCATCAGTACTGTCGATTTCCTGCTAAAATGAAATAGTCAAAGAACTACCTCACACAAAGGTGAACTCTGCAGCCCAAAGTAATGTCAGCTGGTGGCACACATCTCCCGGCAGTGCCATGAGAGGCCCCATTGGGGGGCTCCAAGGGCAGTTCATGCATGATGCCCCTTTTGTGTTAGGTTTTAACACCAAATGATGCTTGAAGATTGTTGTGTGGTTTTTGGAATGGAGGTGTGGTGAGTATGGCTGGGACATAGCCCATGGGGAAGGGCTGTGTAGGTCTGTCTGCCAGGTCTGGGAGGGTCCGCAAAGCTGCAGAGGAGGAGCTGTGGGCAGAAAGCAGCCCTCTACCCAGCAGGGAAGTTCTGAGAGCTGCTGCCGGGCCAAGGGACTTACTGTTCCATAGTGGTTGACCCACCAGGATCGCCCAAATGCCTTTCCCATGTGCCTTTGTTTCCCTGCAGAGCCCACCCAAATTAAATGAGGTCACTTCAGATGCCAACAGGGAGAACTCAGCTGTCGAGTCTGGGTCCGAGTCTTCGTCCCAGGAGGCCACCCCTGAGAAAGGTACGTCGCAACACTATTGCCTCATAGGAGGGGGTACCAAGTGACAGGACACTGTCCATCCACGTGCCAGCCTGGGAGGGATGTAGGGATCAACTCAACATAGCAGTAATAACCTCATGAACCAGCCACTGGGACAGAGCCAGAAAGCCATGGGCACTGGTTTTCAGTGAGCAAAAAGGGGACATGTTCATCTATAAACAGTTAGGCCCAGGCCCGTGGTGCTATATGGTGATTTGGGGGTAGGGTGATTGAGATGGTTGTAGCCCTCTCCCTTCACACCCTGAAGCAGCAGAGGGAGTTTTCTTCCGTGCCCTCTTCAAGGTCTGCCCCCTCCTGAATGGGAAATGGAAAACCCATAGCCATGCCAGCAGCTCCCAGCTGGCCTCCCGTACAGATCCCGAGGCTGAACTACTTGGCATATTTTGGGGTCCACTCCATGTCCCATGGGTAGCTGGTACCCTTGAAACCAAGCCAACCCTTTGCCTCCTGTGCAGTATACTCTCGCCCAACCAAGTAAATAGTAGTCAGTGTCATTTAGCTAATAACATTGCAGAATCCCTGGCCGAATCGGCAGCCGCCTACACCAAGGCAACAGCGCGGAAGTGTTTGTTGGAAAAAGTGGAAGTTATCACCGGGGAGGAGGCAGAGAGCAACGTGTTACAGGTAAGGTGGGCCTCTTGGCTCTTAGGTGGAATGTTATGGTCTGAAGCTTCTTTGTGCGTTTGAGGGTCCAGCCCCCAAGGGGTCAACCCACATTCTTCAAGCACATCGGGGAGAGACTTCCCCTGGAAGTGACAGAGAGGTCTGAGTACCACCTTTAGGATCTTGTTGGTGGGGCTTTTGTTGAAAGTTTAACCAACTCTAAGGGTCTTCTTATATTGCTTTGTTTTACAACGAAAGAATTCTGTTTTGAAACATTCTCATAGTTTAGGGCAGTGGTCGGCAAACTGCGGCTCGCGAGCCACATGCGGCTCTTTGGCCCCTTGAGTGTGGCTCTTCCACAAAATACCGACTTCTGCGCATGGGCCACGAAGTTTCAATCGCAATGTACGTGCGTGCCCGCACGTGGTATTTTGTGGAAAAGCCACACTCAAGGGGCCAAAGAGCCGCATGTGGCTCACGAGCCGCAGTTTGCCGACCACTGGTTTAGGGAATTACACGACTGTTGTAACTTCTCTTACTATCCAGAGTTATAGCTGTGGTTATTTTGTCACACTGGCACCTTGTCTTGTTTTATTAGAGGGAAAAAATCACAGCTGCAGCCCAAACTTCACCCTACTCTTTCCCTGTCAGCATTTTCCTTCCTAGTCTGGGGCAACATGTCCAGGTCTCTGTGCCTGTTATCTGCTTTTCACACATATGTATGTGTCTATAAACTATACATATATAGTATAGAGAGGGTTTTAATGCAGGTTTTAGTGGTACTTCTTTCCCCACTCAACTTTGTTTTTTTAACCTATCCATGTTAAGAGATATTGACATGATGATCTGCAAACTTTTTCTGTAAAGAATCACTTATGGTCCCTGTTGATAGCCTTTTTTAATATAACAGCTTTATTGAGATGTAGTGCACACACAAAGAAATTTACCCTTTTAAAGCATACAGTTTGGTGGTGTTTAGTATATTGACACAGATGTGCAACTGTCACTATTATCTAATTTAGAACATTTTTGTCCTCCAAAAAGAAACATTGTGCCCATTAGCAGTCACTCCCCATTCCTCTCCCTCACCCCCAGGCAATCATGAATCCACTTCCTGTCTCTGTGGAGTTGCCTATACTGGACATTTCACATAAATGAAATCACATACTTTGTGGCCTTTTGTGTCTGGCTGCTCTCACTGAGCATCATGTATTCAAGGTCCATCCATGTTATAGTGTGTGTCAGTGCTTCACTCCTTTTCATAGCTCAATAATATTCCATTGTGTTGAAGGACATTTAGGTAGTTTCCACTTCTTAACTATTATAGAATTCTGCTGCTATGAACATTTGTGTGCAAGTTCTTGTGTGAAAATCTATTTCATTCCTCTTGGGTGAATACTTAGAAGTGGCATTGCTGGACCATGTAGTCACTTCATGTTTAACTTTTTTTTCTTTTTTTTTAAATATGAGAAAAACATTGATGAGAGAGAACCATCTATTGGCTGCTTCCAACATGCCCCCTACTGGGGATCAAGCCCGCAACCTGGGCATGTGCCCTGATGGGGAATAGAACCAGCGACTTCTCAGTGCATGGGACAATACTCAACCAACTGAGCCACACTAGCCAGGGCAACCTTTTTTTTTTAATCCTCACCCAAGGAAATTTTTCATTGATATTTTTTATTTTACTTTTTTTTTTAGAGAGAAGGAAAGGAAGAGGGAGAGAGAAATATCAATGTGAGAAAGAAGGTTGCCTCCTGCACACGCCCCAACTGGGGATCAAGCCCGCTACCTAGTCATGTGCCCTGACCAGGAATCAAACCCGTGACCTTTCAGTGTACGGAATGATGTTCCAGCCAACTGAGCCACACTGCCCCAGGGCCATATTTACTATTTTGAGGAACTGTATGAGGCTTCTGGTTTATCCACATCCTCTCCAGTGCCTGTTATTATCTGTCTTTTTGGTTGTAGCCATCCTAGTGGGTGTGAAGTGATATCTCATGGTTTTGATTTTCATTTCCTTAATTTTTAAAATATCCCTCTAAAAGTATAAAATCCACTTTAGTTTGAAGGCAGAATAGAAAACTGGCCAAAGGTCAGATGTGGGCCCGTAGTTTGTTGACCCTGGTAGTACATGAGAATTAAATGGAGGCTCCCAGGTATCCCTCCCCTCCCCCCCATAGTGGCATCTACCCAGCTAGGGTCCCTTGCTCACCCAGAGGGCTGCCCTGTGTTCCAGATCCAGTGTAAGCTGTTTGTCTTTGACAAGACCTCGCAGTCTTGGGTGGAGAGAGGCCGGGGACTGCTGAGACTCAACGACATGGCATCGGCTGATGATGGGACATTACAGTCCCGACTAGGTGAGCTGTGGGAGGGCCTGGATTGGTGCAGAGTTCCCAAGGCAGTAAAGGGCAAGGTCTCAGCTTGGCCCCTTGACCCAAGGAGCAGGGGAGCAGGTCCTCACGGGAGAGCCCAGGTACCCACACCCTGAGGCCTGACCCGGAGGATCCAGCTGCCAGCCCTTCCATGACTTCCCTCTTTCTGAGTGTGAAAGTGAGATAAAAGTATTTAGCAATTTTTAAACTTGTTTTCTGACCATGAAAGTGTCAGTTATTTTATGGTAGGATGGAAAAAGAAAATAATCAACTGCAGTCTCTTGATAAAGAGAAATCTCTGCTAATAACATGTTGGTCCACTCCTGTTCTGTGGGTTTTTTCTTAAGGAAATGGGGTAATTTTATATTCTGTTCTTTTCACTCACTATTTTGTGAACATGCTCCTGTGTCATTAAATTTTCCTTAAAAACATGACTTTGGGAAAACTAATATATTCTGTTGAAAAATGAATGTATGTCACCATTTCCCTATTGATGGACATGTAGTTTGTCCCTAATTTTTCTGAGTATCATAAATGGTGGTCCTGGGCTGTCTGCACATGACTCTTATTCCCAGAAGTATGTTGATTACAAAGATGGATTGAGGGGGTATATACACATACATATATACATGTTTGAAGAGAATCAGCATGTTCATTTGTCTATGTTGTGAAATATGTATGTTCACTTTTTTTGTTGTCTTCCCACACAAAAATTGCCCTCCAGCCTTTACAGAAACAGCTATTCATGACCCAGTAGTAGCTTACGTTGCATCCTTTCAGAATTGTCTCAGAGATTGGAACAGGGATGAAAAGGGTCCTTCTGTTTGGGCACCGTTCTTTTTCCCCCATGGATGTCCCCTCCATTCCTTTTTCATTTTTTCTTAGGGAAATGTTCAAATGTATGTGGACAGAGAGAGCACAGTATTTGCAGCCCCACAGCTCATCACCCACCTCCTCAGGCAGCAGCATGGTTGCATTACGCCCTCCCCTCCCTCATTGAGATCCCTTTACTTTCACCCCACACAGCCTTTTACCTTGTCACAGACCTTCCCTCTGAGCCCATCTGAACTGCTCCACTGCCTCAAAGATGGGCACTTTGGGCTTGCGAGGCCAGGCTTAGAGGACACAAGGAGATTTGGTGAGTTGAGGCCCAGGACCCCACAGACCTCCCCAAGTTGGCCCAAGCTGCTCCCCGTCCTGTGTGGCCATCTGGATGGGATGACACCTTTTAATCCTCACCAGGTCTGTTCTAATGGGGAGAGCTGGGCTGGCTGGCTGGGCTCTGACAAATTGGGCAGGCTGACTATGGCATTGGGTCTGCTGCAGGGAGACCTGGGGGTGTCACATGTATGTCCAGAGAGGAAAGGTCTGTGCCCAGTTTTTCTTTGCCATGTTTCCTTCACTCTGTCTTTATCTCCTTCCTGTTGGAAGCTCTGAGCACAGGTTAGCCTCAATCCTTTTTCTAAGAAAACCTCAGGGACTTGGCCTGTGAGTGGGGGACAGTGAAGAGGTCTTGACTTTTATGTGACATGCGTCACATAGTGTGTGAGTGTCGACGATTTCACTAAGCTTCTTCGTGAAGTCACCACTTTGCTGTTATTTTAGCAATAAAGGTAAACAGAAAGCGCCTCCCTAGTTCTCTTCAGCTTTGCACCCTGGGCGCCCACCTAGGGCAGGATTGTCCAGGGGGTGGGCGGGGGCGAGACCCGCAAGCCACCTAGTGCACACAAGCCCCTCCGGGAAGCCCACTGCTGGTGTGAACTTCAGGGAGCGCTGGGCCCAGGCCCACAGTGCCACGGGGCAGAGGTGGCCACGGAATCTGAAGAGCCTTGCAGAGGAGGGAGGGGTGTGTGGCGGGGGAGGAGGACAAAGTTAAATCAAGAAGCAGAAACTTAGAGACCACAGTTTACCTAATTAAGGATGTAAAAGTATTAACCTAATTAAGGATGTAAAAGTGCTTTTGTTTTCAAAGGTTATTGTTGGTGAGATTAAAACAATTAATTGGAACTAAAAAATAAAGAAGTGTGAGTGTCCCCTGTGTGCAGCCCACAAATGTCCCTATCTGGCCCCCCCTCCCTACAGTTCTCTTCCTGCTTCTGCCTAATCACCCCCTTCCCCAAGGAAGCCCCCATCCTGGCACATGCTGGCCTCTGACCCCGCCAGTGGCATTGGTGGTTCTGGGCCCAGGAAGCCAGGTGGTGGTGCCAGGCCAGCCCCAGCATGTGTGGCTGTTGCTCAGTGGACAGGTGGATGACTTTCGCGGACCTTGGGAGAGTCATGGGATTTCACTGTTGGGGTTTGCTTTCCTTCCAGTTTGTGTCTGTTCTAGCTGGTTGTTGGGCGGTGGGTGGGAACCAGGGCTGAGTGGCCTTGTTGGTTGCAGTGATGCGGACCCAGGGTAGCCTGCGGCTGATCCTCAACACCAAGCTGTGGGCTCAGATGCAGATTGACAAGGCCAGTGAGAAGAGCATTCGCATCACAGCCATGGATACCGAGGACCAGGGCGTGAAGGTCTTCCTGATCTCGGTGAGCAGCCCCCCAGACAGGCTGGGCTGCCCAAACCCAAACAGCCCCCCTCTCTCGGACCAGGGCAGCAACCCCGAGCTGCCACAGGAGGGAAGCTTCTTGGCACATGCTGGCAGTCGCCACAGGGCTGGATCGAGAGTGCCCCTCTGCGGGAGCACTCAGCACTGCTCTGAGAGCGTGGCCCTAGAGAGCAAGGAGGCCTCTAGGTGGGCCCCACCCCCAAAATGAGACGCAGGAATGCCACTGTCACTTGAGGGCTGACCCAACCACAGGCTCTGGGAGCACTTGGAGGGATGGGCCCTGGGCTCTGGGAGCTTTGGGCTGTGAGCCCAGGGAGCGCTTTCCCCATGAAGCCTCATAATCAGGACTTCCTCTGCCTCCCCCAGGCCAGTTCCAAGGACACGGGCCAGCTATATGCCGCCCTGCACCACCGCATCCTGGCCCTGCGCAGCCGCGTGGAGCAGGAACAGGAGACCAGAACACCTGCCCCCGAGCCTGGTGTGGCCCCATCCAATGAAGATGACAGTGACGATGACGACGTCCTAGCTCCGTCAGGGGCCACAGGAGGCGGTGAGCCAGCAGTCCCTGCCCTGGAGGGCGCAAGGGGGCTGGTTTCCTAGATCCCCTCTCATCCATTGCCGTTGGCCCGAGGGTGACATCTTGGTGTGGAAGCCTGACCCCGGGGGCTGGGGTGCCTTCCAGAGTGGGGACCTGATGGCGAGGCCACTGCTTCCCACAGGCGCTGACAACGAAGGGGACGGGCAGACAGCTGGGAGCACATAGCGCCGGGAGCTGGCCACCCAGGAGCCTGCTGCTTTGTCCGTCTGTCCACCCCCCCGCCCGCCCCTCTCCGGCTGCGTCGAGGTGCGGGCCCCGGGAACCACACTCCCCGCTGGGTTGGCCACAGTCCGGATCCGCAAGGCCCGTTCAGAAGCAGACTTGGGAACTGCCTGAATGTGGTTTGGGACACGAGACCTCATCATATTGATGAGCAAAACAAAAAGAACATTTCTTCCCTCCCTCCTTTGAATTGAAATGGCACATTAAGACTTGTCACGGCTTCTCACTGGGACTGGGATGCCTGGTTTCTTCACCCCTCTCATCCGCCGCCATACCTGTGGGTTTCTGCCACCTGCCCAGGCTACCAGGTCTGCTCCCACAAGTGTAAACACTGGCCCTGCTGGATATTTTGCTAACTACTATCTTTATCTCCCCTTCCCACCTTCTGATTTGGGGTATATGTTTTTAGGTTTCTTTTCCCCCAAGGCGCTTTTTTTTTTTTTTTTGGTTTCTTAGATTAAGATGCTCCTGCGTATTGAGCAGGCATAGCTCCAATGTCCTCGTTCTCCCTATGGTCACGGCTTGTGTGCTGGGGCCTTACTGGGGAGCTTGGGGTACTCTGAAGGCTCCCACTTGTTTCCCACCTGGGGCTCCTCCAAGCTATGAAGGGGTGTTGAGGGGTAGGCCTCATACCTAGAGAGAGCTTATCTAGAAAAGGGTCACTGGATCTAGGAGGGTATGAGGAGGCTGGTTTCTTAGATCCCCTCTCACCCATTCCTGTTGCCCAGAGAGGGATGTCTTGGTGTGGAGACCTGGCCCTATTGGATGGGGTGCCTTCCAGAGTGGGGACCTGACAGGCCACTGCTTCCCACAGGAGCTGACAAAGAAGGGGATGTGCATAGCGCCCCTCCCCTCTTGCTTGTCCCCGTCACGTGGGTCACCCACCATCAGACACCCAGGCACACACCTGCTTTCTACTGTTGGCCATTCCTTGCCCAGCCCTGGATGTCACCATCCCCAAGACCATCCAGGGCCAGGGGCCTCCATAACAGGCAGATGGGGTCCCTAAGCAGGGCCTCTGAGGAGTGGCAGGGGACTGGTTCCAAACTACAGACTGCTGTCCCAACACTCGCAGCACACACGGGAGCGGGTGCTTGTGCCCACCCCAGGGAAGGCCAAGACCCCAGGTGGGCATCGCCCCCCTTGCAAAGAAGGTCCCTGTTCACAGGGCCCCGGGGAATTTTAGAAGAAATCATCCAGCCCACTCATAGGGAGAAGGCCTGGTCTCCATAGCTGTGCCACCCACACCTTGGGTTGACTGTTTGCAGCCTGAGCCATGGGAAGACACCAAAGCCCTTCCCTCACCACCCCTCCTCCCACCCCCAGCAGATCTGGCTACATTTCTCTGCTTTAAGCCTTAGCCAACTAGTGACAAGTAAAACCAGATAATGCCCATGTGTTTTGGAACATTTATGTAAGATTGTCATATGAAATGTATTTGGGAACTACATTAAAACTTTTAACTAAACCCCTGGCCTCCTGTGTGCCCCAGGGGCCTCAGGAAGCCCGAGGGCCTGGCCAGGAGTGACCTCTGCCTCCCAAGGTAAGGCTCCTCCAGCAGCCTGGCCTGCCTGCTGCCCTGG